AGCTGTATTAATTAAATCATGTTCATGGCCATAGCTTGCATGGCATGATGACATTTTACAGGATCAGAACCCTGACACACTGATATCTAATTAATATGGCCAGTCACACTGGAAGCATGCAGTGCACCCTGCATGCCCTGTACATAGACTGGACGTTTTGTTTACAGTTTACAGTAAACTGCATTTCGCATCATGTCGAGCGATGGCGAGCCTAGACGCCGTATAGACTCATTAATAGTACCTCAGAATACCCTACTAAACTAAGGTTACAGACATGCGAGAAGGGGTGTAAAAAAAAAAACTGAAATGCCGCGGATTCCAAGAGCTCCTCTTATGACAAATATTCAGGCTCAAATTGGTACCCAAGCATAACACCGTCTTGCCAACATGCCATACATCTTCACTGTTATCGGAAATGCTTATAGAGTCCAGACTTGAAAAGCTATCAACACCGGATGATGAAGAACACGCCATACCCATAATACACAACACTGACACTAACACAACTCATGACAGTTGCTTTTGAATAATTAGTATCTCAGCAATGAAAAAATGTAAAGTTGCGCACAAGTTTAGTGGTTATTCTTTAAGTATATTTTTAATGTATAATTACTACATATTGTTACATTGATTTTACGATTAATATATAACATTACTTAGGACCAACTAACCTCTTTTGAAGCATCGCATTGTTGTTATAGTAATAATATAATATGAAATATGGGAAGCAAAACAGTAGACCTTTTATTTGGAATATACATAAGTAAATCATTACAAATTTGAAGTCATCAGACAAAGGTTAGAAATATAATAACGGAAAATATTAATTATTTCCCTTTTTGTTTTTATCTTACGCAATAAACAGAATTATAACTTACTTACTATAACTTACTGTTTTATTTGAGGACTATAATAACAATAATGAAATCTTTTATTTAGGACATTCATCGTTACGTAAACAAACCATTAAATATATAAAATCGTCAGACTCACACAATAATTTTTTAAAAATAATAATAATAACATTACAGCACACGTAAAAGTTTCGACGAAAATTATGTCCGAAATAAAAGATTACGTTTAACTTTCTCCTTAGATCGGTACAACGGTGAAAGATAACAAAAAGAAAAAAAAAATAAAGATAATTAGACTCGAATAAATGGTAATGGCATTAATATTTGTAAGAACAATGTTAACGTCGAAGAAGAAATAATACACATAAAAATGATAAATGATAAGCAATATCAATAATAATGAATCAAGGTAACAAGAGGGAAGAGAGACAGAGTTGTTAAATTATTAAATACACCTCTTTCATAAATTTCTAATATTCGAAATTTCTTTTCAAATAATATCAATATTTAGTTTAGAATAACCTTTTTTTACTGAGTTTAAAGAAAGTATGACATTTATATTCTACCGAACGTGAGATGATAAATCACAATTTTTTAATCTTTCACGATTTATTACTTTTTCTAAATGGCTAAAAATACTGTTTGTTTAAAATACGGCGATGATTTTCATGTTTATCACTACCTTCGCAATTATAAATAAAAGTAATACAATTATTAGCACAAAACTAAAAGGACTAGGGAATTGAACCCTAGTCCCCCCGGCTCGAAGGCAGGTGTTTAACTCATTACGCTATCTTGAATATTGATATAATAAGTATTTGGAACTAATAAGCTTCAAGATATTTTATTCGCCTGATTAACCTTTATTTATCTATTCTTCTATGAAATTATCATTAGACGGTGTCTGGTTTGTATCTATTCTGTGTGTGTGTGAGAAAGAGAATGATTGGTGCATGTGCAAGGCACATTCCCTGTTTGTGAATGCTTATAAGGTAAAGGGAGAGAAGAGAAGAGATAATAGATAGATAGAGACAGTAAGTTACAACAAAATCACATACATTTAAACATTTCGACGTTCTAGGGTAAAGATCGAGTTAGAAATGAACATCGAGTCACATCTTAACAAATAGTCACAAAAAAACATTTAAACATTTTGAACTTCCATTGGTAATGTACGAGTTCAAAATTAAGTCACGTCCAAACAAATACAGTCACACGAGCACACACAATTACATAAAAAAAAAAACATACATTTTAACATTTCGACGTTTTACAATGTTATATAAGGGGTCAAACAGAAAGGCAGCAACAGACCAGTCGATCAGAAACAGAATCGAGAAAAAATCGCTAAATATTCAAGAAAAAAAGTCAGTATTTAAATGTAATCACTTACGTATTTCTGAGATTTTTTTTCTCTCGGTAAAATTACCTAGGTAACGATTTCTTTCAAAAAGATAGTATTTACTTGTCTATTACTTAATTGATTTAAAGTACCAGCTAAAAATTCTTTTCTTTCGTTGGTGTGTTATTCACTAAGCATATCGTTACTGATGACCTGCTATTTAATGTCTATTTTTATTATTATCATTATTATCATTATTAGTTTAGCTTGAGCTCTATCATTATTGTGTCGGAAAACTTAGAACTATGCTGATATTTGGTATTTCCCTTTTATTTACCTTAACATGAATAAACGTCATTTAATCTTTAACATTGCCAAATTAAATTTACTTTAAATTTACTAACGATTGCTATGATCACACAGCCTTATGTTACGATTATGCCTGTATAGTGTCCTTTACTTTGATGTAGTTTTCTCTGCTTTATATTTACAAATATATGATAAAATATTATGTGTAACCAACGGTAAAACTGTTATATGACTCGTATAACGTTTTTGTAATCATTTCACAAAAATAGTGGACAGTATGTCCTATATATATATATATAAATATTTACACACGTGTGTATGTGTCCATATGTATATATATACATATATATGTGTGTGTGTGTTTATGTATATGTATATAGAGAGAGAGATATATAGATATAGATAGATAGATAGATATGTGTGTATGTATCTATAAGTATGTATATATATTACACACGCATACATATAGGAATATGAATTAATATAATGAACTATTCAATAGGTAAATACAGGAATTATTTATATCACTAGTTTATAACTAAATCAACAATATGATTATTCATTTGTTGTTATGTCATCACCTACTTCTCTTTTTCTCTCTAATTTATCTCACTCTCTCTTTCTTTTTATCTTTTCCTCTCTCTCCAACTCTCTTCTTGTCTTTCTTCTCACTCTCTCTGGCTCTCTCCCTATTTTTATCTCACACTCTCTCTTACCCTCCCTTTCTTTTTCACCCTCCCTCTCTCTTTCACTCATCTCTCTCTCTCTATCTATCTATCTAGCTGCCTATATATATATACCCACGTGTTCTTCTTCTAGTGCTCTGTCCAACGACAGGTGCTTTTTAGCATCCATTTTATCAATGACCTCTACCCCCCCCCCCCCTTTTACACGTGACTGAGGGTCATTTCCTGTGATGTCTTCCATAAATAACTATAAGGGCAAGATCGGTCTGGCAGTGTTTTATTGAGGCACTGTCTCTTGAAGGTCGCCAGCAAAAGCTAAAATATCCCCTCGGCCCTTGTTTCTATTTACCCCATAGATGGAACCCTGGCAGGTGTTCCACTTTATGTCGAAGTGGATCTGTGATCAATAGTAGCTCCATACTCCTCACAACCAGACCCCCATATATACGTATATATATATAAATATAGATTTTTTTTTTTTTTTTTTTCAACAGCCATTCATTCCACTGCAGGACATAGGCCTCTCTCAATTCACTATTGAGATGTTATATGGCAGTGTCACCCTTGCCTGATTGGATGCCCTTCCTAATCAACCGCAGTTTGGCGCGTTAACACTTGTGCCACGGCGGTGACTTCCCTTACGACACTTGCGTTTGACTTCTCAAGGCGATATGTCGTTTTCTCGGGCTCGAGCAAGCAGTCAGAGCGCAAGCATTTTTACGACTGCCGCGACGTGGATTTGAACCTGGGACCACGAGGGTCGGAGTCCAGTGCTCTAACCACTGAGCTATCGCGGCAGTCATATATATATAAATACGCGTGCGTACCTGTGTGTGTGTATTTCTATATTTCTATATCTATATATCTATATATCTGCATATATGTATAAATGTATTATTTACGTATGTATGTATGTACATATATTAGTCACCGAAGGACATAAGCGTATCACAGATCTCTTATTGATAGTTTTTTTGGACAGGGCCTGACTGGATGCCCTTCCCAATCAACCGCGTTCCAGCGTGCTACCACCTGATCCACGGCGGTGACTTCCCCTTGACCTTTCTCGGGGACACGCTGTTTCTCGCCGTGAGCTCGGGCTTGAGCCACGACGGGGGTTTGAGTCAAGTGCTCTGATCACTGGACCAGGTTCTGTTTCAAGGAAGCTCGAGTTTAATGAAAATCATAATATTCTACTGGATTGCATTTTAGAGAATTCTTACTCAGTACATGCGTCTTTCACTTGCATGTGCCGTGGCTATGGGTCGTTACTGACTATAAGTGTGTATGTTTTTGTGCGTGTGTATTTGCGCGCGCGCGTGTGTGTGTATTTGTGTGCTTGTGTGTGTGTGTTTGTGTGCTTGTGTATGTGTGTGTGTGTGCGCGTGTGTGTATGTGTGTGTGTGTGCGTGCATGTGTGTGTGTGAGCCTGCATGCATGCGTGTGTGCATGTATGTGTGTGTGCTTGTGTGTGTGCGTGCATGTGTGTGTGCGTGCATGTGTGTGTGTGTGTGTATGCGTGTGTGTGTGTGTATATGCTTGTGTGTGTGTGTGTGCGTGCATGTATGTGGGTGTGTGTGTATGCTTGTGTGTTTGTGTGCATGTGTGTGTGTGTGTGTATGCTTGTGTGTGTGTGTGTGTATGCTTGTGTGTGTGTGCGTGCATGTGTGTGTGTGTGTGTGCGTGTGTAAGTTCCCTCACCAGAAAATGATCCGGTGCGCTGCATGGCGGTGGCGGAGTTCTCCTCACAGCCGCTCTGTAATGCTGGAGAGGGCATTTGTGCGTCTATTTGTATAATAAAATAATTCATAGCAATTATCTGATTTATTCACAAATTAGCAAAAAAAAAAAAAAAAATCGTATTTCATCCACATTTAATACGACGTATGTGACAAGAAAGTACATTAGGGTAAGTGTTCGTGCAGAATTGGAAATCAGAACACACTTGTTATAATCAGTAATGATAACAGACTTATCAGTGATGATAACAGACTTGTCAGTGATGATAACAGATTTATCAGTGATAACAGATTTATCAGTGATGATAACAGATTTATCAGTGATAACAGACTTATCAGTGATGATAACAGATTTATCAGTGATAACAGACTTGTCAGTGATGATAACACTTATCAGTGATGATAACAGACTTATCAGTGCTGATAACAGATTTATCAGTGATGATAACAGACTTATCAGTGCTGATAACAGATTTATCAGTGATGATAACAGACTTATCAGTGCTGATAACAGATTTATCAGTGATGATAACAGATTTATCAGTGATAACAGACTTATCAGTGATGATAACAGATTTATCAGTGATAACAGACTTATCAGTGATGATAACAGACTTACAATAATTGATAATTTCAACATCCTTTTGGACAGTATCCAACTCTTCAAACACAGATGAAATCATTCATCCTACAAACTCTATTTGTATTGATCAAAATAGTCTATTACCAGAATACAACTCTTCAAACATATATGTATGAACAAATCCTATGAAATTTATTGATCAAAATAGACTTTATAATCAGAATGCAACTCTTTAAACACTTCATATTATATATAAATTAACAAACCAGATATTCCGTATTCGATGCAATTCATCGGTATCTTTCTTTCTCATCTAAACAGAAAATGTGAAAGATAAAGAAATTTTCAGCTTGTAAATACCTTGATTTCATCCTTCAATATATTCAGATTTTTTTTTTTTTTTTGTACCACTAATGCTATGAATTCATTTTTTATAGGTATTGACCTTTTTCCCAAAACCCTTATTATGGCTCTAGGCAGTATCACCATAAAGACAATTTTCAGTGATACATCAATCGCAAGACCCCAAAAATAATATCCACATCAAGAAAAGAGAATAATAAAACAAAGAAGTACACACTGCATATTACAAACATAAATCACCACACTTGTCCTATTGAAATGCTTCTGTTCGAATCACCTTTCCAATTAGTTGCATATCGTCAACCAGTTTCTTGATTCTTAGTTTTATGGCATTCAAATCACGCCGTATCTCACGCTTCACATCAAGTTCATGATAATTTAGGAAACAGCGTCCTATGAAAGCTATATTACCTGATATGGCAAATTAACTTAAATTTGCATTTCTAGCTCCTTCCGTTTTGCTCTGATAGCGCTAATTTCGGCTTCAATGTCAGCTTTCTTTCCTACTACACTCAGATATTGATCCATCTTGGAAATTTCCATTATGAGGTCGAAATTGGCATCTTTGCTTACATATTTTTCTATAATTTCGTGATCATTGCCAAGGTGGTTGCATTGCGGACAGTGGTTGTTCCCCTCAGTAGCGTGAAATTGAGACGTCTTTTTACTCTTGAGATAGGAAATTGCTCCTACCACAACACCTACACCTACAAGTAGCCCGGATACATATGGAACAATTAATGCCATTTCCCCAAGTTCGTCTACAGTAGGCATATACGCCATGAATGTAGACATTATAGTAGTTGCAACATGCATGAAGTACCTACTATATCCGGTATTTCGTTGCCAGGAATGAGATCTATGGTCACTTCTACACTCAGACTCACAAACACGTTGACACTTGATGCAGAAGTGGCTGTGCTTGCCATCATCCAAAAGTATGTTATTTCCGCTAACATCCAGCTCCCTTACACTACTCCAATCAACTCCTGACAACTGCTTACCCCGCAAGCCAAGTTTGCGACTTTCCTGCTTTGAGCCATACTTCAACCGGTTCAGCAAAAGTCTTGCCGAAATATTGAGGTCGACAGCCTTTCTCTTATTCAGAGAATCAAGGAATTTCCTTTGACTGTTTACCATGTCTTCCCACTGATCTCTGTACCTTCTCTCCTTCTGATCATCTTGTGGGCAAGTTAAATATATAGGCTCATTATTAAAGAAGAATACCTCTTGATAGCCTATTCCAGCCTTCTCAATAACCTTCAGGGCATTTGTATTCTCATTGACTGCGAATGTCATGAGAATGTCTGTTATGGCCTCAGTGTCAAAGCACAGAAGGTCTCGCATCATCCTAAGGATTTTCCTGTTTTTTTCAGTATACCTAAGGTCTGAAGCTTTCCAGACTATGCCAACACTGTTAAGATGTTTAATCCAAGTTTCATCTGACAAATAAAACCGGAGACAACTGTCAATAACTTTATCAATGTCCTGACCTCTTGTGTCACCGAATCCCGGCGTATCAATGACCATATAATTGTACTCATATGGCATCCCATTTTGGTGATAGATCAAATAAACTGATATATATTCCGTCTGACTGTATATTTCACTCTTGCTGGCTTGCTCCATCTGGTCCTTCAAATTAAGTCTAATTCTGTCTTCTCTTGCAACACCGAAGACCCTGTTGAGGAAAGCGTTGCAGAATAACGATTTGCCACTCCAGTCTCCCCCAGCAAGAGCACCGTCTTCACTTCTCGGTCCTTCTCAGGCCCAACGGCGAACACACGCACCTTGTTCTTCTTATCTTCGTGCTTCATTTCCGGCTGAAGTTGGTACACAGTGAAGCTGCCTTTCTTTTCTAAAGGCACAGCAGTTCTCTCGACCCATTCCTGGAGTTGAGGATCCATCGCTGCAAAAATAATTTGTCTATAACGAAATATAAGAATCCAACAACCTGTTGCAAATAAATGTTTAATATTCTCAGCAGCTTAGGAAAACTTAATTAGTTATCATGTCTTAAAAGAAATCTATACCCAAGTAGGAAATGAATTTACAGAAAAACAAAAGTTTCACAGTGACCTAATGATCACATCTGTGGGTCAAGAAAAGCAGGAGCATATATACACAGCCAGTCAAGGAGGATGGGGTCACATGAGCAGAGGAGGAAGTCAAATCAACACAGGCGCAGAGGCAGATTATCGACAAGACGCCAATTAATATTAAATGGTTGCTGATGGAAACCGGTGTTTTCAGTAGAAATTTGGATATGCAAGTGGTAAATTTACATATAATATGTATGATATGGCTATTTGTATGTATGTATATGTATATGAAAATATGTGTATATATATGCATATGTATATATATATATATATATATATATATATATATATATATATATATATATATATATATATATATATACACAAAGGTAAATGCAATTAATCTTTTTTCCAGATTTGTTGACAATTTTGACAAATAACTTATTTTCCTGCATAGTGTAATGGACAACAATTATTAACATACCGCATAGGCGACTATGCCTGTACCTGTTCCAATTAACAGTGGCGTTAGTGGCATCATGCCACGTAGACTTAAAAGTGTTCGCCAAGTTGGTGGCGGTAACACGAAATATTAACAGTATTATACATTTCAGAACCCATTTTTTTATGTAGCCAAGCGGAGTGAACAAAAACTAGAAAAAAAATAGTTATTCTAGAAGTATGTTAAGATGTAACTGGTGTAATTAGTAAAAAAGTTAAAAATTGTAACCCTGTAGGGGGAGACAACTACCCCCTCTCCCAAATAACGCTTCGACATCGTATCATATTGTTAAGTCAGAGTAAAAATACCCTTTTTAGCGGCTGTAACTGGCTGTAACTGACTGTACCTGTCCTTGGATTCGTGGAGTAAGTCACTTATTGCCGGCGAATCGATCGTGTTCTGTTCCTGTCCTTTTTCACCGCTTCAACTGTACCGAATGTTGCACTCGGCAAATGCACACTTCGAATATTAATGTTTTCAGGGTGGCAATACACTACACATGAAAATGCCGTATACTTATAATATACAAAAAAAATCAATTTTTATCATCTCTTCAGCGACCCCTAGCAAGCTTTCAAGGAACTCCCAGGGATTTGGGAATCAGCTAGAGGGAATCACTATATTTCATGCCCTGACCACTGTACGCACACAGTTCTCGAAAGAACTTCAGGCTTATTACAAGCGTCTGTCGAAGCTTATTATTAATTACCTAATACTATGATCCAAACATGAAAAATTTACCTTACATACGATCTTGTCGCCTGAGTGTTCTCCCTGCAAGCGCTTATTCCGTACTAAGACGTTCCTGACTGATATCGCCAAGACGCCATTCCTCACTGATAAGCCCGTTGCCTTCTGAATCAGAGAGCACGGGCGAATCCGAGGAAGAACTGAAAGTGCAGACGAAAGGTTTGCATCCGTATGACAGCTAATATGGAATAAATTCAACTTTCTCGCAGGTGTTTTTTTTTATGAAAGACGAAATAAGATAAACATCGTCAGAACTCTGTCTATTAAGCTGTCCGAGTACTGCATATGTTCACGCATAAGATAGATTTTAAAAGTAAATATCAACGTGATTTATGCAAACTGTCCTCCCTAAACCTGTCTGTCGTAAGAGAAGTTATGGATATGTAATTTCATTAGACATTTGCTATAATTTCAATGTGCATTCAGGACTGTATACAATGATTCTCCTTTCCTTCTGCTTTTCCTTCAACGAGGAAGTTCGGGAGTGCTTGGCTCGATCGGCTGTGCAAAGACTAGCTCGAATTTCTAGGAGGCTTAAAGTCAGGTACAAAGTGTGCAGATCTGTCCTGCTCGCTATAAATAAAAAATAGCGATGTATTTTTTCAATGACCAATGTTAAAGAGAATTTCATATAAACTTAAGAATACAATGATAACTGATGAAACAGTGCTGCAGCGTACTATAATTTTAATAACTATGGAATCAGAAGCAGAATATTAGGAGGCAGAATGGGGGAGGGGGAGGGGGGGTGGAGGCAGAATGGGGGAGGGGGAGGGGGATGGAGGCAGAATGGGGGATGGAGGCAGAACGGGGGAGGGGGAGGGGGATGGAGGCAGAATGGGGGAGGGGGTGGAGGCAGAATGGGGGAGGGGGGTGAAGGCAGAACGGGGGAGGGGGATGGAGGCAGAACGGGGGAGGGTGAGGGGGATGGAGGCAGAATGGGGGAGGGGGTGGAGGCAGAATGGGGGAGGGGGGTGAAGGCAGAATGGGGGAGGGGGATGGAGGCAGAATGGGGGAGGGGGAGGGGATGGAGGCAGAATGGGGGAGGGGGAGGGGGATGGAGGCACAATGGGGGAGGGGGAGGGGGATGGAGGCAGAATGGGGGAGGGGGAGGGGATGGAGGCAGAATGGGGGAGGGGGATGGAGGCAGAATGGGGGAGGGGGATGGAGGCAGAATGGGGGAGGGGGATGGAGGCAGAATGGGGGAGGGGGAGGGGGATGGAGGCAGAATGGGGGAGGGGGAGGGGATGGAGGCAGAATGGGGGAGGGGGAGGGGGATGGAGGCAGAATGGGGGACGGGGAGGGGGAGGGAGGCAGAAAGGGGGAGGGGGAGGGGGATGGAGGCAGAATGAAGGAGGGGGGAGGGGGATGGAGGCAGAATGAGGAGGGGGGAGGGGGATGGAGGCAGAATGGGGGAGGGGGAGGGGGATGGAGACAGAAAGGGGGAGGGGGTGGAGGCAGAATGGGGGAGGGGGAGGGAGGCACAATGGGGGAGGGGGAGGGAGGCACAATGGGGGAGGGGGAGGGAGGCAGAATGGGGGAGGGGGATGGAGGCAGAATGGGGGAGGGGGGGAGGGGGAGGGACACAGAATGGGGGTCTAAAGATTTCTGGAAGACAACGCATAGCAAATTTACAGACAGTGAAAATACCAGATGGGCGGAGCAATGAAAATACATCTTGGCAGTGAAAATAAGATGGGAATCGACAGAAGGAGTAACGATTACCAGAGGCATTTTCTTCAACTGATTGCCTCGGAAGGTGCGTGGCAGTCTAATTTCCTTTAGTTGGAGGTAGTCGTTTTTTTCCTATTGGTAATACTTAATGGTTTAATGGTTAAAAGCATGTTAAAAGCAAAATAAATGTGGTAGACATCCAAGATCATGTAACACTATAGGAAGGTATTATATGAGAAAGGGTAGGGAAGGGGGAGGAGTTAGTAATTGGTTGCTGTAAGTCAACAGTCTGGAGTAGTACTAAAAAAAGGTTAAAGACTGGTAAAGGAAGTGATGAGTGAACGGGTTAAGGTATTATCAAATAAGGGAAATAAGTGAAGGATATTGTATGCGTTTGAGGAATGAGAACAGATTGTGGAAACGGAAAGTGTGGATTATGTAATAATGTCTGAAAAGTAGGGAGGTCGGCGAAGGGAGGATACGTGGGGGAAATGGTTAATGGTTAAAAGCAAGATAAATGTGCTAGACATCTAAGGTCATGTAGCACTATAGTTAATGTTAGTGAAAGGTGGTTGAGTTAGTGTATAGTTGTCTAAGCTGGGCAAAGGAATTGGTGAGTCAAAGGGTTAAGGTCGGGTGTTAGATTAGATAAAGGATATGTATGCGTTTGAGGAAAGAGAACAGGTTGTTGATGCAGAAAGTGTGGATTCTGTAAGGATGTCTGATAGGTTGGGAGGTCGGTGAAGGGAGGATAGGTGGAGGAAAGCAGAGGTACGGGCTGCTTCAAAACGTGGGCACGACAATAGGATGTGTACGATTGAAAGGGGAACATTACATAAGGAACATAGGGGTGGATCAGATTGTGACATCAGATAGGAGTGTGTTAGACGGGTGTGGCCAATGCGTAAGCGGGCAGTCTCCCAACGTCTGTTCCGATGAAATGGAGCTGACCAGGAGGAGATTGATAGTTTTACAGAATGTAATTTATTAGTGTGGAGGCTTGACCAAAAAGATTGCCATCGCTTATACAAGAAGGTCTTAAAGTGTGGGTAATAATCCGTGGCTGGGATACGTGAGAAGCGTGGTTGGTATGATGTGGACATAGCAGCGTGGCGTGCTAGTGTATCTGCCTGTTCATTGCCGGGGATTCCAACATGGCTGGGCACCCAGCAAAATTTGATTGTTTTATGGCGTGTGGACAGGTAGAACAACCAGTCCTGGATCTTACAAACAAGGGGGTTGGTGCTGTGTATTGACTTTATGAGAGTTAATGAGCTACGGGAGTCAGTAAAAATTGTAAAAGAGGAAGAGGAGAGTGAGTATATGTGTTTTAGGGCAAAAAGGAGTGCATACAGTACTGTAGTAAGGACACTGGATTCAGGAGGAAGGGAGTATTTGAAAGTACGAGTTGGGAATATTACTGCAAAACCAGCACCAGAGGTGGATTTGGAGCCATCAGTATATACGTGTATACTAGAGGAATGGGTGGAGACATGGTCAAGGAAATGGATGAGAAGGACAGTAGGAGGAATATTTGATTTTGGTGGGTCGGGGAAAACAGAAGAGCAAATATGGGGGTGAGGTATAAGCCATGGAGGGACGGAATGGACAGAGAACGGGAGAGGTTGGAGATGGGGGGGAAGGGGAATGGGAGAGGAGGGTATCCATGCGAGTGGAGAAAGGAGTAGGTAAGCGTGGAGATGAAGCTAAGGTAGGAAGTAGGGATTGTGAGATAGTTAGTTTAGTGAGGGGAAGTTGGTGGAAACAAACATAACATCGGTATGCCTCTCTAAGCATACGTGGAAACATGGGTGTCTTCATAAAGTCTTTCCTCTCCCAACGCACTTTTCAGGTCAAAATTGCTTCTGCCACATCATCTTTCTTTCCTCAAATCGAAGGTGTCCCACAAGGCAGTGTGTTCAGTACCACTTTATTCCTTCTAGCTGTTAATGATATTGTCTCAGGTTTACCACCAGGAGCCCGGTCATCACTATATGTTGATGATTTAACCATCTATACCTCTGGCACATCCATACCAAATATCTACCAATTTCTTCAATCTGCAATCTCATCAGTATCTTCCTGGGCCACAAACCATGACTTCCGCTTTTCTACCTCTAAATCTTTCTCCATCCTTTTCTCTCACTCACGTGTAAGTCCCCTACCCCCACTCTTCTTATATGGCACTCCACTCCAATGCCGTTCCTCTGGCAAATTCCTAGGCGTCATTTTTGACTCCAAACTGACCTGGCGAGACCATATTCTACACATTAAAGAAAAAGCTCTCCGCCGCCTTCGAATTTTAAAAACTCTTATCCTATATATCATGGGGCTCAGATCGCAAAACTCTTCTTCATCTTCATGTTACTTTGATCCTCTCCACTCTTGATTATGGATGCCATATCTACTTCTCTGCCTCAACTTCTCTCCTTGCCCATCTTGACACAATTCATCACTGTGGTCTTCGCTTAGCACTAGGCGCCTTCCGTTCCTCTCCAGGTTGGGCACATAGTGGGCATCTGGCTGTGGAACGGCAATGTTTGGCTGGGTGTCCTAGACGCCAACAATTTTGGCACTGACGTGGAGGAGGTTGGTATGGACGAACAGGGAGGGATTCTCCTCCTATGTAGACGTTAAAGGGAAGGTCATGTCTACGGAAGGTAATTTTGGCTATGTTAGTGGGTTTCTTTCGATGACCTCAGGGGGGAATGGAGTAGCATTGTACTGATGTTGCATCATAGTCTGTGAGACAGGCAAGTAGATCTTCTCCACAATCTGACCAATCTTTGTCATAGATTGGGCAATTTGCTGGTGAGATTGAGACTGTTCCGGTGCAAGTATTGAGGGTTGGATGGGGTTCTGCAAGGATGGGGTTACCATATAGGTCAGTTAGTTTTGTTAATGCTATAGCTTGGTTTTCGTATGTTACTGTGAGAAGACGGGAGCGGTCGGGTCGGCTACGGAAAGAGACTTTACCTACTTGTTTTTGGAGGTATTGTTGGAAGAGAAGGGTGTTGTCAGAGTAGGGAGCTGTGGGAGGGATCACGAAAAATCGGTCCCATTTGGCTGCACTAAAGAGAGTATTCAAGATTGTTTTAGAGATAGGGGTGGTAGAAGGGCGAGGGCGTGACGAAGATGGAGTAGTGTTGAGGGAGGTAGTGTTATGGAGAGGTGGGCTATAAGGCTGTAAGGTATTAATAAGGGAGGATGGGGTGGTTGATGTTGGAGGTTGTGGGGGTAGAGGTGTTGAAGTTGAGCATGCTGGGAGAGTGGAAATGTTCCTTGAGGGTTGATTGTTGGTTACTGTACTAGTAGGCATTGGTGAAGGGGTAGTTATTGCAGTGTTCGGAGCCGTGGTCAAAGGAGAGCCTGGGGTCGGGGAATTGGGTGGGTTTACTTCGTTGGGGCTATTTGATAAAGGGGCAAGCCTCATTGCCCCTTACAGTG